AGCCAAAATGGTGGGAGGACGCAGGAGGCAGCCATCTTACCAGTCCAGCTCGGCTCGGTCGTCCACCCACCGAGGAGGCCACCGAGCTGACTGAACTGATGGAGGAGCTGCTGGGGCTGTGGGCCAATGACGAGACCCCCATGGCCATGCGTTTGCTCTTCTTGGCCTTGGCAGGGCTGGTGGAGGGGAAACCGATGCGGATCACTTTGTGAATCGGTGCGAAGAGGCCGAATTTGTGGAGACACTGGAAGTATCTGAGGAGGAGGATGGAGAGGATGAAGATCGTTTTATAAACAAACTGACAAAGTCTGCGTCTATAATTGTGGAGGAAAAGGTTGAAAAATTTAGCTAAAAGTGAAACCAAACCAGACGTGTGTGTGTGTGTGTGTGTGTGTGTGTGTGTACCTGGTACCAGCCACAGCTCCGTCGTTCTTCCCCAGAGGTTCGTCCAGCTCCACCCCACACCACTCACCCTTAGCAAAGTCCGTCTCACCCATATAACGAATGACTCCCATCTTTGATCCTCCCACCTGAGAGAATGGTCAAATAATTCAAATTACTATTGCATGAAAATATATCAACTACAATTGAATAGTTGATGAATACATTTTTAAAACTCAAAAACACAGTTTGTCCCACTTTTGTATAAAAGCCAACTGAGAAAATCATCAAAATTATAACAAGCAAATATTGCAGTGAACATATTTGTACCTTATCACAGGCCTTGTGAAAAAGAGACGTTTGTCTGCATTTGAATTATGAATCTTGTGTACTCATTACGATTCCATTCAGCCACCGATTCAACCTGCTAGGCCACAGAGGCCAGAAAGTGCATGGCCGCAGGGAATGCTGGGACGTCAGCAGGCATTAACTGCTATGTTTAGTTGTCAGCACGACTGTGCGATGTCTCAGTGACTCAGTGTCAGTGTCACCCAGACTCTGGAGATATGAGGAGCAGCCACCTTGAACACTGTGAGTAACAAGAACCGACACAGGAGTTTGACACGAACAGTGAAACTTCTGTGTCTCCAAGGTTTACAACTAAGGACTGTTTGGCCAAACTTTTATTCTGAAAGAAAACCCAGGAGCCTATTTTACCCCGTAATAGAAATGGTCGGGTTGACGCAATAAAAGCAGTGTTTACTCATGACTGGCCACACACTGAACCATATAGTTTGTAGGTTTTCTCCAGTTTATCCTAAGCCTTGACCACATGTAACTCGTTTGTGGCCTAACGTTCAAACAAACAAGTCACGATCATTATGGGGCAAGACAAAGAGCAGCTTAATTCATGGTCAACCCACTTTGACACCAAAGACTGAGCTTCAGTTTGAGTTTGTCTGCCATTTGATGTATTAAGTCACACTTTATGCAGATGACACAGTTACAAATTAGTAAAGCTGTAATGCAGTTATTAATTAGAAGACAAATATAGACATTATAGATACACTGTATTAATATAAGGTCCCCACTCTTAGTCCATTTTGAAAGATTTTTTTCCCTGGTGTTGAATTCCCAGGAACAGAGGAAAGGACGTGAAGCAACATCGACGACAGCAACAGAACACTGAAGCCACACTGCTGGGATAGATTACATGGTGGAGGCTGAGGAAATAGATGCATTCAGTGATCAATGTGTCAGCAGTGGTTCTCTCCTTTCTTAAGTGCTGAAAGTAATCCAGAGTGATTTACAGTATTGACCATCCTCTGCTCCCCCTTCTGGTTCCAGCTGCACTGAATCTGATGAAAGTATCCCTGGTGTCCATCAGTAAATGGAGAGCAACGTGACCTGAAGGCCAGTGAATTCCATATGGTGAAGAATTCTTTGTACATTAATGGGATAATAAGCGAACGGCTGATAGGAACGAGCAGCGTCCAGATGTTTGACTGCTAACCTGTGTATCCTGCAGGGTCGATGGTGCTGATCACACCAGACAGGACTAAGAAAAACAGGAACTTCCCAGTGGGATTAAAACAAGCTTTACGTTACACTGCACCAATCCATTCTTCCTAGGGGCCTCTGTGGAACTGGAATTAGAATTCCAGTGGGAACAGGAAACATCTACTATCTGCCACTGGTTTATTTGGTGACAAATATTTACAGATAATCATTTGTCTGGTCTTTTCATTCATCATCTACCATATTAGGAATGTAGGGGGAGCTGGCACCAAACCCATGAGATTTTTTCATGAGGGCAAAGTGCACCCTGGACAGTTCTTTGATAGGAAACCAGAGAACTTGAGGAAAAAAAAGGAGAACAGGCAAACTTCACACAGGATGACCAACGGCTTCCTCTGGTGCTTGAACTCCATCCTGTAAGGCAACCACACTATCCACATATATATATATATATATATATATATATATATTTCTTCTGGTCTCATCGTATCAGACTGGATTCTTTGGACAAAAATATTAAATCTGGACAAAAGAAATGATTTGCAAAATTCTTGAAAACTCAAACCACTGATGAAGAATAAATCATTGTTTCATATGGATATACTGTATATGTTTCCATCTGAATTGCTTCTTTACTAGCTGGGGCTATATATCCTTGTATATATTTACTATGCGTTCATTCATATGTTGCAGGTCTCCTATCGCCTCAGAGCCTTGTAGGTCAGGTGAAACTACTCATCTAAATCTGCCATCTGTTATGACACCCTGCACTGTGTTAAGTGCATTGGTTGCTAGGTGTCAGACTGTCCAACTAGGACAAACTATAGGTCATGCCTCAAGAGCTCTTGGATAAATTCCAGGACTGAACTCGGCCACAGAACCCATAGAACCTACATTAGGTTTAGAAAAAGGTTGGATGTGGATTAAAAATACAAAAACATCTGAGAGCCTTATGAAGAGGCATCTTTAAAGGTACACATTTACACTAGAGCAAATGATGTTGATAGGGACAACCAGCAAATTTCAAGTTCAAAGTTGCATCAATTTATCCATCAGCACAGTGATGAATGAAGCAACAACAACAATCACGTCACAGATTATTAGACAATAACCAAAAATCAAAGATCATGTACCAACCAACACAAGGCATCTTACCAGAACTCGATCTCCAACTCGTAAATCCTTATCTCCGGCTTTCTTCACGGAGCCACTATCAGACATGTTGGATCCCGACTCATTTCCTGTTTTTACTGCGCTGTTGAGCAGACCCTCTCTGAGTGGCACTACCACCCTCTGACCAGGAGGGGCGCCGTTGCCTCCTGTCTGAGTTTGAGCCGAGACGGAGTCGGTGGAGTGGCTGTCGCTGCCCTCGCCCACAGGCTGCCGTGTGAGCTTGGAGGGCCGGGTGAAGATTCCCTGCAGCGGCTGGCACTCAAAGTAGCGCACGCCGCCCACTGAACCATCATTTTTGCCAACTAGGTCATTCAGGATCACGCCTGCCCACTGTCCCGGGGCAAACTGGGTCTCCCCCAAGTAGGCTACCACTCCAAGTTTGACGCCGTTGACCCAGACCTGTTCACCCAGAGTGTAGTCGCCCAGGACGTCATCACCCTCTTCAGAGATCTTAGTTGGTGTGGTCGGCTTCAGCGGGGTGTCTGGGTAAAAGAGAGAGAGAAACCACCATGAGCTTTTCTGAACTGTTCCCAGCCCCATAATTGACCACAGCCATCTGTATTTTTTCTGTCTAGAGAGGAAAATGGTAAATGGTGCTTACACAGAATATTTTTGATTTACTATAGTCTGTTCAAAGTTTGCTTTTTTTTTAAATCAGACTTCTGAGTTGGAAATCGATAAGTTTGCTTTTTTTTAAAAAAAATCAGACTTCTGAGTTGGAAATCGATGATTAGGATTTACTTCAGTAAAGAATAAATCCCAAACGTGCAGCCGCAGATCTGCAGATCGTTTGTTCTTGCAAAACTCATCTACAAAATGACATTTCCAGCAGGGGTACATACAGTATTTTAAAATGATAGCAGACATAAATCATTTCCTTAGCTCTACCATTAAATAAAAAAAAAACATGACCTTTATTTCTTTCAGTAACAGCTAACTTCTGTGTCTCAGGGCTCGTAGACGGCACGTGAAACAAAAACAAAACCTAAACCATTCCTTTATAGTCAGCTGATTCACTTTGAACATGTTTTTTTATCAATGCGTGTCATTGTACCAAAGTCGTTCAGTTACAGCTTCTCCTGACACGATGATCCAGATGTAAACACTGAGTGCGTTGTGTGATCGTCCTCATTCACATTCACGGTCCAGCATTATCTGCTTTGAGTCATTTATCTAGTTGGACCAAGAAAAAAAAATACTGTATTCTGTGTCAGCGTCCAGCATGAAATTGCAGTTTCAGCAACTTTTGGCTTCATTAGTTCGATTCCTCCTGAAACGTGTCAGAGCAAATATAATACGATGCTATCAGTGCTGACACATGGAGTTCTCTGACATTCTGACTATATATAGATATATATATATATATGAACCCTATTTAAGCTAGAATTAAAAATAAAGTTTTTATCCACAGTTTTAACACTGACGTTTCTGAACCTTTTCAGCCTAAGCTGAACTGAGCACCGGCCTCAGTGCTGTGTCAGTAGAAGTCTAAAGTTGATCTACCAGAGACTCAGAAGTGCCGACCCGACGTCCCCCAGACCAGGCCTGAGGCTTTGTGGGATGTTGTGGTTTATGCCCCAATTGTTTCCATATGCTGTCATGTGAGATGGTTTAACCATCAAATATCACAGATGAGAATAGTGTAAGATGAACGAAGTCAAAATGTTAACAAAAAGAAAACTGGTTATGACACTGAACTTCATCTCCTCATAAACGGTGTGAGGTTTAATTTAATTACATTGGTTTTTACACTGGGTTAACGATATAAAGAGCAGATCAGTAAAACCCAGTGTGGACTTTCTTCTGTTAGAATGTTGCCTAAGCAACATGGAATCATGGGTAAAAGGATCCCGGGCTGGAGGAGAAGTGGAAACGCGGCCCTTACTTTCACTATTGTGTTTGGCCCCTCCCACCACCACCATCTGAATCCCACTATTCATCCGTAGGGCACAATGAAACCTCCACAGCTTGGTCCTCACCCTCCGCCTCCCAATTATCAGCTCATCCTCTGTCTTTTAGTCTTTCATTAAACTCTATCACTCCGCTGGGTTGTGTTTAATTTATCCACGTATTTACTTATTAACTTGTCTCAGTTTGCAGACACGGTTTCCATAAGGAGAGAACCAGAGGAGGAGAAGCAGCGGCGCTCAGAGGTGGCTGTAAAAGAGCTCCGTCTGTGACGCTGCAGCACAGACAGTGACAGATGGCGGGGGCTGAACTGCAATCTTTTTTGACCTTTTTGTTCCTTTTTTAGCCATTAGGGTTCATGTCAGTGAATACACCAACACAAACAGAGATGCTGAAAGAGTTTGAAAACTCCAACACCTGGAAGAGTCTGGAACTTGTAGTAGAACAGAACAAAACAGAAGGATGGAAGAAGGAGAGGTTTAAATCACCAGTAACGTCAGGTCTATTGACATGTGAGTTTTTTCTTTAATTCAAACGTCTGTAGTTCTGCTGAGGATAAACCTTTAAAATAAAAGTCTCAGCAGTGATACCTTTATCAAAAATTTAAAAAATATTAAAATTAATTTCTTTATTTTGCAGTCATTCTGCCATTTTATTCCCCATAGAAGTCAACTTTATTTAAACCTAAACTTGATTTAGTGGTGAGGCTGAGGGTGTTAGCAGGGTTAGCCTGCTGAAAGTACACCACATCATGCCACCACACCTTTTGTGTCTCTTCCAGAATTCCTGCAGACGTGGCAGCACCATCATATGTGGCACAGCTTTGGTAGTAAAAAAAATGAGGAGAAAGAAACATTTTCTTTCTCCTCATTCCCTCGCTGACTGCCACTCTATATACAGGTCTTTAAGAATACTAAAGTAAACTCTGCCAACTTCGACACAGTGGCCCCTTCTCATAGTCTCTTTGTCTAAAACCAACAAACAGAAGGGCTGAGATTTGGGGCGAGAGGCCAGAACGGTGTTACAGCAATCTGGGACAGGGAACCAGTTCCTCAGTGGACTCAGACTCTAACAACAGTGTGGTTCTGATAGTGACGGTAACACGGCATAATCAGAGGTTCCTAATGTTAACTTCAACATACTACAGAAGGGGGCGGTAGATATTGCATTGAAGGTTTATAGGAAATATACTGTATAACGACAGCTAACCACCAGCTAACAGCTAGTCAATCAAACAGAGGGTATCATTTCAGATATAAACATTGTGACAGTGATTGAGCTTATCGAGCTAATACAGCTAAACGAGTTGAGAGAGCTGAGGAAACCGCTGCTGTTTGACGCTAAGAGTTAGCAGGACGAGTAATCTAACTTTAAATGGCTGAAACACAAACACAATTCAAGAATCTTTTTAAATAACCAAATTAAACATAGTTTCCTAGTTTGCTGACACATTATATCAATGCTAATGCCACATTAATAACAATAATCAGTGGTAGAAGCATGTACTGGATCCAGAGTTTCCAACCACTTGTGTGGTTACAGCTGTGTCTTCTTTTGTCTGTTGCCCCCATGAATCTTCACACTAAACATGAACCACAACACAGTGTGACATGAAGCTTCCCCGCTGCACTGACGCTAATGAGATACAGGAGTGTTTTCAGCCGGAGGACGGCTGGTTATTCTTTAGTCGTGTTCACTTCAGCCTAAGTAAAGCTGTAATTTAGCAGTGTGTATGTATGAGAGGGAGGGAGGGAGATCAGTCTGGGGGAGGATGAAGTGAGAACAGCTGTGGTTATGTTTTGGCAGACAGAGGTTGTAATTCTGATTCACAGTGTTTTTTTCAGGAATGACTAATTTTGGTCAGAGCTCAATCTTCCAGTAGCTGTAGGGTCAAAGCTCACTGGTCCAATAATACGATGTTTATCTGAGGATTTAGATGATCGGGCGACCTGCTGATGTTTTATTTAGATTTTAATGACTGGTATTTATAAGTCCCATAACACAACTAAATAACTCCTTAGCCATAACTCTGTACTTTAGATACGAACAATGATTTCATGTCTCAGCCTTTAGAGGAAAAATGTAAATATGCTGAAGATTAACATTCTTCTGAAAGATATACAGTCGATGTTTTTGGGAGTCTTGTTTTTGTAAAGTACTGACACATGGTCATTGCTGGAAACCAGAAAACCACAGACATGAACAATTACACTCAATGCAAACATGGCAACTATCAAGGAAAAAAAAGAAACAGCAGTATCTTTAACAAAACAATCACCCCACCAAAAAATAAAAGAAAGAATGCACGCGCTCCATTTAGTGACTTAATTCAATAATTGTCTAAATAAAAAAACAAAAACTACAGAGCTAAATTATACAGAAAACTTTAGCCAAAAACCTAATAAAAAGGTCAAATTTAGCACAAACAAACTCAACAAGAATGGCAGCTAAAGCTTTTTGCAAGAAAAAACTAAGCACTTGAAAAAATGTCTTATAAATAGGTAATAGTTACGTCAGTAGCTATAAATAGTAACATATAAATAATCACAATTTACGAAGAACAATAAATATGAAGGTTAACTAAGAAACAGTTTATGAAGATTAACTAAGAACTAGTTAGCAAAATTAGCTTGACGTAGAAATATTTTTAAAAATATTTTAGTAAGAAAGTGACAGTACATATAAACCCTGTGCCGTGCCTGGATGCTGGGCAGAACTCCATAAAAGCCTGGTCTGTTGTTTTTTACATAAACCCAAAAATTCATCAGTGGGTGGAGAATTCCACTCCCCTAGGTATAGACGTTTGAAGACTAGGTTCGAGAAAAGCCTTCAGATCTGTGTAATCTAACACAGATGAACTTCAGTGGGTGTTACAGAAACAAATAAAAAGTTTCAACCCACATCCGGTGATGAGAAGTAACAACTGGAATGGGGTCAGGAGAAGGAAGTAACTCACTGTCTTTAGGGATGACGGGGCTGGACGTTCCGCCCACTGAGGTCCTTCCCACTGGGCTGGAATGCTTGGCCCCTCGGCCTGGGATTTTCAGTCCACTGGACTTGAGCATGTTCATACTACAGTGGCAGGGAGACCGGGTCTGGACCTGACGAAGATGAGGCCTCGAGGATCAGGCACTAGATGTGTGAGTGGTGACCTTCACTCTCCATGTTTGGCTACTGGGAAAAAAAGAAGAACAGGAAAAGGAAGTCACACATATGGAAACAATTGACAGGAAGTATACGAAGAATGTTGTCAGTGGACGCTTCTACTGCTACGTCAAACGTCCAACAAGGACTGATGCAGAAATCATAGAGGAGCAGACAAATGTCAGGGTGAAGAAAAGTTACAGGGAAGGACATAGGACAAACACAGGTGCATTAAACTTTTTATGTTATTTGTTCAGTACTATATTTATCCCCTAATGTAAATTCTCTGGATTGAATGATTGATTTAATGAAACAGCCCAGGAATAGGAGCAGTGGACTGGACTTCTGCTATGGCCGAGATTTGATCCAGACACCCTCCAATTAGAAGTCCAATCCTTCAACCACTAGGCTCCCCAACTGAAAGAGTTATTAAAATAACACATACATGCGGTATTTATTGCTTTAATGTTGGATGACCAGATATCCATCTGAGGCTATCGTGAAAAATACAGTCCACTATTAGCTCATCGCAAGGAGAGACAAACACAGACAACACAGGAAATATTAGTAGAAGACATAAATGTCCCCAAAAAGTATATTTAAAGAAATAAAACCATCTTCTAGGTTCAAGATACTCAATTTATTCCTTCAATATTAAACCCTGGCCAGTTCAGTTGAATATGACCCTGATATACCCACAGGAATTAAAAAAAGACACAAAGAACCATTTTTTTCATCAGCTCTTTTTTTTACAAGCATCTAACGCCACCTAGTGGCACCTATTTAATTGTTCTCCCTGTCACTGCTGCATAGACAAACAGAAACAACAACTGTTTGAAATAATCCGAAGGCAACGTTGAATCATTGTGCAGGTTTCCTGAAAGTTTGAGAGCTGGGTTTTTGGACAGGATTAGAACTGGGTTATAACTGTTAGCGCAGCTTTAGGCAGGTTAACTAGTTCCCAGTCTGGTTTGTTGTTGTGTCACTCCTGCTGGCGCTGTCTTTCATTTTTCAAATATCTCGGTCCAGAATGTGCTGTTTGAGAAGATTCCTGCGTAATGTTTACCCACAATGCCTTGAAGGGAACACCACATTAACACCGTCAGACCAAACATGTACTGATATAGTACTTTGTTATTTCTCCTGAAACTATACAACACGTGCTAATCCAATGTTTTTAATGAACCAAATGCATCACTAAAAAAGTACACCTAACTTCTTCATGCTGCCTTTCACAGTCGACTTATCCACTTCCACAGACCGGGCAGTGACTGTGAGTGACAGACACTGCAGAAAAGTGGAGCATGGCCTAGAAAATCTTGGCTCAAAGATCATCAAAGGAGCACGGACGCACACTAGGAAGTACTGAGGTATGGAATGCTGAAAATACAGCAGAATATAAAAGCAAATGTGCCTGCCAACATACAGTCCTAGTGGTACTAGTGGTACAAATGTCCACTCCTTCCAGAACAATAAGAGAAAACTCTACAAATATATCAGTGTATGTGAGTGTATTGTATTTCTTGTTGGCCTTGTTTCCAACACTTCTAAAGACGACAACACCTACGAATCAGTTTGATGGATTTCCTGTTACACAACAGTTTGTGGCGTCTCTTGGTGAGATGGCAAAATACCACACACAGGACTCCTCTGCTCAGTCCTCTCCTGAGCAGAAGGCATCAAAATAATCAAGCTAATGTGACTGGCCACGATTATTTCACAATTTTCTTCTACAATTCTCATCTGCTGTTAACACAAGAATTTCCTAAGTATGGGATCAATAAAGTTAAAATTATTATTATTATTATTATTATTATTATTATTATTATTATTCCTTTCAATGGTTTATGCATCTAATCTAAAGTTTTGGAGCATTTTTCCTTTTTGTTTGCTTTGAAATGCAAACAGAAACATGGCTGCACAACATGGCAGCCTCCATGAAGCCAAACCCCTTCTTTATAAGGTAGATGTAAAACTGCATTATTATAATTGTACACTCATACAAACATTCTCATTATTGGCGTTTTTAATGTTGCCAATAAACCCCTCCTTTAAATATGAAACACTGCAGCTTCAAATTGGAAAAAGAATCAGAGCAAATCAGAGCATTTTCCAATAAATCTGCCTTCATCCAGATGATGATGATGATGAGGTGTTCAGTTTGGGCTCAATCAAACATAATGATCATGACGTGGACGTCGCTTTTCTCTGGTTTTATTTCGTCTTTACGACCGGACAGGCCTGGACTCCCTGGTTTCTGCAGTGAGGGCAGCATGAAGGATGATAATGCGCACCTCAACAAAAAAAAAAAGATGCAACACAACACCACCAGTTTGATCCATTGTTGTAGCTACTGCGACAACGTGCTCCTCCAACACACACAGTGCCCTTCAGTCAAAGTCTCAGCCAGGATTAATCATAACGGACGAGATGATGCAGAAGAAAAAGGCAGATCACTCACCTTAATGTGCTGAATTTTGAAAAAGGGAGAGCAACTTTCTGTTTTTGCCCCCGGTTGAGGTGTTTTTGGTGTCAGCAGCCACTCCCTGGGATGCAAATATGGATGCTGAGGAGTGGAAGACACAGCCGGCGTGGATCAGGATTAGGATCAGGTTTAGGATCAGAGCAGGAGGAAAACAACTGCACGGTGTCAGCAGCAGCAGCGCCCAGATGGTGGTGGTGATGGTGGGTCAGTGATTTTGCGGTTTTGGAGCCAGATGATCGACGTGCATCCTTGTGTTTTTCCAGTGGACGATCACTGGCGCTGTTCGTCCGTACGCAGGAAACGCAGCATCAGCAACAACTTTTCTGGTTCCCGGCAATGATTTAAAACGGAAACCGGCTCCTTGATGTTGTTCCCAAGTCTTTTACGATTCCCTTTCAGTAGTAGTTAAAAATGTTGGGCTGGTCAGCACAGCCTCTGTCTGTCTCTCTCTCTCTCTCTCTCTATCTCCCTCTCTCCCCCTCTGACCCAACCCACCGGCTCTGAACTGAACAAAGGGGTTGGGGGAACGCAGCAGCAGCAGCAGCAGCAGTACAGCCTCCGGTGGGAAACATGAGATGAGTCTTTCCCCGAGTGACGAATCCCGTTTAAAAAATGTTGGGATTTAACCTCGCCGTTCTCTCTCACTCAACCACTATGACTCAGAGATCATGACTCAGTAGCTATTCCTGTTACCGTTACTGCACTACTATTCGGAATTAATAAAATCCACCAATTCTTTTTTTCCCCAAAATCTCTCTCCCAGACAAGACACTAATACAGGGCGACTCCCTGTATCTTTTAACGCCTTCGGCAATCCATATTCGATGGGAGATAAATCGGCGTGACACTCGTATAAGTCCAATTATATACAATAATGTAACGTCTGATAAGTATCACTGATGCCGAATTAAAAAGCTTTTTCTAATTTTACAATTTAAAATTTGAATTGGCAAAGAAGGGGTATTTATTTTGACCTACATTTAAGTATAAATTAAATATAGTTATTTCTGACGGGAGTTTGTAAGGCTCAGAACCGAGCAAATTATAAAAAGTTCATATTTTATAATGTTATTGTTATCATATGTTGTTTGAAAAAGAAATTTAATGACTTAACTGCTCCTCTGTAAAATTTAAATTTCCAATAAACGCCGTAAAGTATGTACATTTTCTGATTATTTCCGTGGGCGGGGCCAGAATCTTGACGATAAATCTTTACAGAGTTTCCGGTTGGTTTCAGAGTGTATGGATTGGTCGGATGAGTCAACAGACCCAATCATACCAGCTAGGTAATTGGTTAGATTACATATGTAGGCGGGGCTTAGTTTGACAGCCGTGTTACCGAGAAACAGAGACCTCTACTGCTAGTAGTACGCAACTGCATCTTCCCAGGACCAGACTTGAGACTTTTGTTATCTATCTTCCTTATGAATATGAATATGAATTTTAAGACAAACGTCAAATTTAAATGTTCGTTGTTTTCTACCTTGCACACTCTGTGTGAAAAGCAAAAGCAAGAGCTTTCCTTACACGTAAAAAAAGCCAGGCATTGTTTTTCAAATTACATATAGCTTTCCTTAAACGTAAAAAAGGCCAGGCATTGTTTTTCAAATTACATATTTTTCTGATTATAAAAATAGGGGCAGAAGGGCATAAAAATGGACATGATCATGAAAGTTGCAGTGGAGTTTGGTTAAAAGCAGTGTGAAAGGAAAACATAACCTGTTATAAATGAACCCTGGCTTATTTTGGGATGTCACCTTTCAGCAGCAGCTTGGTGGTTGTTTGGGCAGGTTTCTGTGCTCCAGCCACAGCTCTGGGGTCGCTGAGTAACAAGTGACCCTTGACTAAGAGTTCTTCTCCGCACTGCATGCTCTGAATGATAAATAGAGCCCAGATGGGGGTCAGCCTCAGGGCAAAGGGCTGTGGTGAAGGCTAACAGTGGACAGGACTCTGAGGCCATGTGTATAATATTGTTTGAAATTGTTTTGTTTTTTGTTGAATCTAAGTCTCAACATGTCAGCAAAGCATCTTTGATTTTTAAAAATATTTTGGGTATTTTTGGACTATATTTATATACCTGATCAATCAATTTTTACATGTAATTAGATGAGTTTGAGTCACCTTTTGTACATAGACAATCTGTGGTTAGTCCTCCAAGATGCTTGGAACAACATCATTCCCGAAGGCAAAGGATGTTCACACAAACACTGATTTGGTTCAGATTAAAATTTGTCCCTTTTTTGGACATTTCTGCTAATTAACAAACAATTAAATCCATTACTTTTTTCCTCGTTTGGCAAACTTCAGATATCTCTACATTTAAACCACAAACCAAAATAAAAGAGAAACATAAAAATAAGAGCTTCTCTCTCAGTATCTTACTGCTGTAGCAAAATAACCATTAGAATCTTTGTCTCCATCTAGTGGAAAATATTGGCGCTTCAAACTTCTATTCTTATCTATCATTTTATTTTCTCAATTGTATAATTTAATTTGATTCAAATAATTTTCACTGAATGTAAATTAAGTTTAAACACATTTACAAGTGCAGAATAAGACTGTGTTTGTAACAAAATAACTTATTCAAAGTCAGTTAGAGTTGGTAAATCTGATGTTTTACACATTTTTCTATATTGCAAAAATTCTTGAAGCACATTTTTAGTTTTAATTTTTTTGTTTTTTGTTACAGTTATCAAGTAAGTTCAGTAAGAAGGGGCAGTAAAAGCGCCACACACTCATTAATATGCAGGGTTTTCCACATAAAGCCTCTCTGTGTTTTATAAGAAAAGGCTCAGTGTTTATTCAAAGTTCTAACCCTGCTCCACACGGAGGAAGTGACCAGATTACAACATATAATCCCATTATGATGCAGCTGCCATGTGAGGGCCTGCTGCAGGGATTAAGGGGCAAAAGGTCCAACTTTGGGGTCCAGATCTGTAGGATTCAGATCTGAAGAAACAGAGGTCAAAACACGGAGGTTTTTAAAAAATGACACGACGGTCGTCTCCGTCCATCATCTGGACGAGAGTCTCAGTCTGACGTGGTGAGTGTTTTCATTTTTCTTTTTAAAAAAAACTATTTTAAACTGTGACAAATTCAACCGAATATTTGATCTGTATTTTAAAATAATATATATTTTTCATTCTTTTACATATGATGAAAGAAATTGGTTTTCAGAGGGAAACTAAACAGAAAAATAATAATATTGATTTTTTTATTCTTTAACTGTTAATTTTTAATTGTTTCTCACATTATTTACATTTGAGATTTATTTTGATTTCATCGACCGAACATTTGCTGCCAAAGGTCTTCTTTAAACTTAAAAAAAAAACAAAGTAATGATTAACCTGTGTGTGTGTGTGTGTGTGTGTGTGTGTGTCATGTGTACCTGACAGCTGTAGGAGAAGGTGAAGGTCTGGGATCGGGACAAACAACAAAAGGACAGAGAGGAACATCTGAGAGAGACAGAGACGAGAGACACCGTCAGGGAGACCGTGTGCGTGAGCGTGAGCATGTACACACACACACACACACACATATATATTTTGTAATGTGTTAATTGAAGAGAAGCATTTTCTCTAAAAGGGTTTTTTATATATATATTTTGGCTTATTTTGGTTTAATGCAGAGGAAGAGTGTCTCTGAGAGCAGCAGCAGCAGCAGAGCAGAAGAAGAAGGAGAGCGGTGACAATGTCAAAGTCTGAGGAGGAGGAGGAAGTCTGAGTCTGATACAAGTGAACAGGAGACGTTAGAACCACCATAGTTCTCCACCGCAGGAGGAAGATCTGGACCAGGAACCAGACTGAAGCTGCACTTAGTCCCGTCTTCAACCTCCTTCACTGCTGCAAACTTCAGACAGGTAACCAGTGTGTGTGTGTGTGTGTCTGAATATAAAAATAGCCAAATTTTTTTGCATTATTTTCTATATACGCAGATTTGTGCTGACTAGCAGTTTGACAGCAGACGCAAATCCATTCACATAAAATCAACCAGTTCAGTGGATTTTCTAAAGAATAATTAAACTAAATTAATTACTAATAATTGAGTCAAAGTCCAAACAGAGAACTGAAGTAAAAGACCAGTGGAGTCTACGTGGGTGTACCCCAGGGTTCTGTTGTTGGACCACTGATGTTTACTTCATGTTGTTGTCACAGCCGCCTCTGAAATGGCGTCAGCCGCTCTGGAGCTGATCGGCTTCTTCCTGGGTTTGCTGGGAATGCTGGGAACGCTGGTGGCCACCGTGTTGCCGTACTGGCGGATTTCCGCCCACATCGGTTCCAACATCGTTACGGCGGTGGCCAACATGAGGGGCCTGTGGATGGAGTGCGTCTACCAGAGCACCGGCGCCTTCCAGTGTGAAACCTACAACTCCATGCTGGCGCTCTCTGCTGACCTGCAGGCCTCACGGGCGCTCATGGTCATCTCCTTGGTGCTGTCCGTCCTCGCCATCGCGATGGCCGCGTTGGGGATGCAGTGCACCGTCTGTCTGGACGGCGCTGGTGACACGAAGAGTCGGGTAGCCGGTGCTGCAGGAGCAGTTCTCCTCACCGCGGGGTTCCTGGCGCTCATCCCCGTGTCGTGGACCACACACGAGGTGGTCCAGACCTTCTACAGACCCAGTGTACCGACCAGCATGAAGTTTGAGCTGGGCGAGTGCCTGTACGTGGGTCTGGCCTCGGCGCTGGTCTCCATGTTGGGAGGCGGGATGCTGTGTGTGTCGTGCTGCAACGAGCAGGACGGTGGCCGCAGGGGGCGCCACGGAGGAGCATATCCGTACCCTATTGGAGGAGGAGGAGGAGGAGGAGGAGGTGTGTCCGGGACAGGTCTACGGACAACCTCACAGGTTTACCGTAACCCCACGCTGCAGGTGGCCAGGGGAAATGTGCCCAGCAGGGGGCAGACATTGTTACGCGACACCAGCGATGGTTCCCATTCGAGTGCACGAGGTGCGAAGAAGCCCACGGCGGCAGGATATGACATCACAGGATACGTCTGACCGACTGCTGTCGAACCTAAATCCTCACTTTTACTACCATGTATTCACGTACTGTTCGTGTACTTATACACGTATATACGCATATACGTATTAGGTGTATGACTCTGAAGGTGACGTTTTACAGCACACCAAAGTCCATAGAGAAAATCGTCATTTTAAAACTTGACAAACAACAATATCATATGATGGTCGTTAAACTGAGGGGAAAAAAAAACAGACTGAACTTTACTGAGGTTCAGTGATGGATCAACAACGTCATCTAAAATGGGATTTGGTTAAGGAAGGCCAGTAGGTTTGGAAAGTGACAGGAATTTTAAGTTCCTAGTGAAAAAGACTTGAGTGATTTTAAAAATCTAGAGTTTAACAGTTAAGTAAAGCAGTTCATATATTTTCAAAATGTTTTGTCTTAGATTTTCAAATCCAATCCTTTCCCATGGACCAGACCAGTCGAAGCGAATACACAATCAAACTTCAACCAGTGTCCATTTCTCTTTGTTCCTGAGTTGCATTTAAGTGTAAACAGACATATGAGCGTTGGTGGTCGGATTTATGATGCAAAAATACTGTAGTGTTGCGTAACTACACACACACATATACATACAGTACATATGTGTGTGTCACATGACACTGGACGCAGTTGTGCTTGGACGATCAATGACACGTTGACTGATTTAACCTGAATGTGTTATTGTTTTGTTTCTGTTGTTGGTGGTGTTTTTTATATTTTCAAAATAAAACGAAATATTTGTTACATGCATGTTTTTTTAAATTTTTTATATCATTCTGTGTTAATTTTTTAACTTTGAGGTGTTTGGATGTTTTTTCAGCAAATATTAAATACAATAACTGCAGTAGTCGTACTGTATACTGAAGTGACTGTGGAGTACACAGATGAAACTCCATCAAACTGAACGGTTTTAAACAGACACTGATGTGGAAACAAAGTCAAAGACAAACAGACGTGAACAAACACAGTCACTGTGACATCGATCGACCCACAATCCACCTGGCTCACAGCGGGGTCGGGAACTTGACGTTCCACTGTCAACAGGACTGTGAGAACATCGTACGGACTTAAACTGGATTCTTCTTCATAAAAACATTCATTCTTGTCTGTTTTTGGACTTTACAAACGTCTGTGCTACAGAGTTAGGGAATCAGGAGAGTCCTGCATCATTTAACTGTCTTTTTAACTAGATACTGTTCATAAACATTTATAAGTTATTGACATATCATGGCATGTTTTGCTTATTTCATTAATAATTATTAACTTTAAACCTGGTCCAAATACTAATACTCTATGCCATTTTCAGCTACTTTAGTCAAACATTTTACTATTTATTTTTTCCATATTCTTTTCTTTATGTCTAAAAAAATGTCTTTATTTACTTTAATGTTAGGAATTCAAAAATATTCAGGTATTCAGAAATCAAGTATGCCCGAGGTGACGTTTAGCAAACTTTTGTTTTAGCAAAGTCAGTGTCTTTTTGACATGAGGCTTCAGTTCACAGCTGGATTGTGGGTCAGGGACTGAACTGGTTCACGTTTGACCGAGAGCAACAGAGATAAGAGGGCCAGGGAAAACATGAAGCGTGAAAGCTGTGAGAAAAACAAGGGAAAAAACAGGAAAACGTTCAAAACACAAAGAGTGCAGGTATAAGTGATACTGAAATTATTTGGTTTTAAAAAAATAATAAAAAAATAGAGTGTGAACTAATCTTGACAAAAACAAACATTTGCTTTTAGATTAAATGTTTGTCTGTTTGTTTACTAAATAAAGTTTCACGTACCTCTGGACTTGGTTTCCCCTTCGTTGCTGCAGCTCTGTCTGTCGTCTCAGAGACATGTCGTCTTGTCGTTAGTCTTGTTCCTTCCATCATCTGTGTTGTTTCCATCTCATCTGTTTTTTCAGCTCATCCATTATTCTTCACCTGGTGATAATTGGCCACATGTTATCCCTGGTCTGCTTTTTATTAACTTTCTTAGAAAATACATGTTTTATTTTTCCCTTCAAAAAAAACTACAATTACTACATTTAATATTTACTCACTCAAATAGATTATCATTTAGCATTTAAATATTTAGTGTGACATTGGCACAAAAAAAAATCAAATTCAAATAAACATTTTTTTCTGTTTAAAGTCTTAACTCTTGGTCAAAATATTTTAGCCTTAGATGACGACTCAGGCAGATTATTGTGGATAAATTATCCACAAAAGTAGATGTCTGTGTAAATGGTAATATAAAGTGTATTTAAAAGATCTGGGCAAACATGAACTGCTTCTAATAATATAATACACGTGTCTCAAATGAAACTGTTTAAATTGGGAATTAAATTTTTATGAATACTTAATACGTGATGAGAAACACATTGTAAAGCGCTGTGATGCACGTTTGGCTCCATCAGGTGTCCCAGTAAAAGCATTACACCAAAGTTAAGTTAGTTTTGATGTCTTCTGATGACAGATAATTCTGTACATTTCAACCTAAATAAACACTGGACAAATGCGAGTATTATAGTTGTCAATTGCTTATTTGCTCACATTGTGTTGTGTAAATTGATAAAAAACAAACAGTCACTTACCTGAAAACACCTTTACTTCACAGCATGATTTCACAACTGTCTTTAACTTCTGCATCATTTTAGTGTATTTTTGTACAAATCTACAGCTTAAAAAAAGGCATATATAATTACTAGAAAAAGATGTTTAAATAAATAACTTTATAAAACAATCAGACATTCATTATATTAGAATGCCACAAACTGCAGCTGGACAGTTACAGAAAAGTTCATTAATATTTGATCCTGTTTAAGGCCAGCTCAATTATTTTGGTTCTTCTCCTTCTGTTTCTCTAATTCGAGTGTTCGAGAGTTCGGTCTCTCTCGGCCGAACTCCACCACCAGCGGTTTTCCAAGCAGCCGGTATCCATGGATTCTAATTCCGGTCTCTCTCGGCCAAACTCCACCACCAGTGGTTTTCCAAGCAGCCGGTATCCATGGATCAACTGCAATGCATTCTGGGCCATTTCGGGGTCTGTCAAAAAAATAAAACAAATAAAAACTGTGTCATCTGAACCACTTAAATATACGTTTTTATCCAAGTCAGATATTTTATGTCAGTATGTTTTTACTCATGTTTATGAGGGAGTTTTTCTGTAACGTTTTCATCTTCAAGAGACAGTGAAGATGTGAAGTTTCTGACCTGACAGAGTGATGAAGGCCTGACCCTTCATTCTTCCCGTCAGCAACTTGTAAATAATAGGTGGTCCCTTATCTGGCTCAAATCTGGAAAACAGCGCCACCAGCTGGGCCACTGAGGCCTGTGCACTGAGGTTCTTGACACAGAGCACCTGCAGGCGAGGGATGTAACAGAAAAGAAAAAAAGAAGAAAATAGTCATTTTTTGTAAACTCCCTGGAAAAAGATTTAGAAGAACTCCCTTTACCTTTGAGGGATTTCCTGGCTGGTAGTTATAGAACCTCGGAATACTTCGGATCCCGTCATCAGACTCACGGTTCTGTCGGATTTCTTCATTTGTGATCTTGTCAATCTGGCCCCTGAGAGTCAGCGGATCTGCAGACCCTGCCTTTGATGTTCCTCGCAGGCTGCCGATTGGCTGATTTATTTCTACCTTCGTTTGAGCATCCTGTTGTTGTGTTTCCTCCTCTTGGTCCAGACGTTCCCTCTGATGCTGCTGCTCTAACGTCTCAGAATGTCCATCCTGCTGTACTGACAGAGGCTTGGTCCGGTTGTCTGATTGGTCTGGTTTTGTGTCACATGACTGGTTGGATACAGTTCTGTCTGTTGATGACTGTACTGTTGTTTGCACTCGAGAAACATCACTGAAAACATCTCTGTAAAGAGAGTCCATAGGATCAGCCGTTGTCGCCCCCTGCTGACCTTCCTGGGTAACTTCATCTGCGTAGAAAAATTCAATCACCTTCTGCACTCATTGATTAATATACAATCACTGTATCAACTACACATTTTGAAACACAAACACAAATGTTGTGCAAAATACAAGAATGTTTTTTATGACTTTAAATTAGTTTGACTGTTATTGGAATTTCCAATTTTACACAAATTCAGCTTCATGTCTTCTTTAATAGGTTTTACAATATAAAATTTAAAATTTAAACTAGACAGTAACTGGGTCTGCACCCAGATGAAGCTCCAAGGCCCTCTCTGTGCTTCAGTCCATTCACTATAACAACTGCAACACCTTTTCTCTTTCTCTGAAACACTGAGCTCTTTTATATATGACACTGTTCAAATGCAGCCTGGAGACTCTTTATAAGCCTCTGTACCTCTGTGGTAAAGTGCGGTGAGAAACCCCAGACGATCATTCCCCTGAAACAGCGCTTGTTCAATTTCCATCTCCCGTCGTGAAAGTGCCCTGCTGCTGGCAAAACGCTGTGGGCGAGAAAGGATCTCGGCCCTGGCTTCAATCTTGTCTTTGATTATCTGTAGACGCTGCTGCTTCTCCACTGGAGCTGCACACACTCCGTGAGACTGTGACAGTAAAAATATTGGTTCAATGTCACTCTGTTATTATAGTACAACACACAAGACTGGAAATAACAACTATATTCACTCTGGCTGAGAAGACTTTACCTTTTCCTCCATGTCTGGAGCATCTCTGCTTTGCCACAGCTTGATCTCTGCCTCAGTCAGACCCAGCTCTTGTAAGCTGGTCACCTCCTTCTCACCATCCTGCAGGGCCTGGAACTGGGACAGGCTCCTCACGCCGGCCGCCTTGTCACCAAATGGCCGATAAAGTGCAGCAGGAGCAAAACACTGCCTTTTGGCTAAACATCTGTGGCAATTCATTATACATGAATTATTGCGTCATTGAGCCAAAAATACATATTGTTGTGGAAATTCATTTCTTATTGCATATAGTGATTGACAGGTGACAGAAACAGGTTGGTTTCTACCTCTGTATGTCCACATCTGTGTCGAGCTGCTGCAGTAGGAGGCTGTGCAGCTGCCGCTGACCCTCCGTCTCCTGCTCCTCCAGTAAAGGACCATCCTCACAGGCCTGTCGGCTTACTCTGATGCATTTAACACAAACAGACGACATAATGTCAGAAGGGTTGGACGTTTATTATTGGTATGCACTCTTTCAGAATAGAAAAAACAAACAAAAACGAAAGAAAGGGCACAACGGAATTGGATTGGAATTCACACATCCTGATGAATGCAGTTCAAGAACCACATAGGACCAAAACTAAAACAATTATAGGAGTTCAATTCATTTATTAAAAATTAATTTGGACAAATATGTTATTTTACAACATAGTTAAATATAGTTTTAAAATGGAAAATGTACTGAGAGACACCCCGTTATCTTAGCTTAGCTTCAACAACAAACGATATGACAAACGCGGTGTCATACGGCACGTTAGATTTAATTTGCTAAAATTGAAAATGTACCTTTAATAAACGTTTTGACTATTTCACCCTTTTAAAAACAGATTTTTACGAAATGAAACACATTTTTTCAGCCGGAGTTTTGTTTACCTTCGCATGCTGCCACTTTGTACTTCCTTTTCCGGTGAATGGAATCATGGGAACTATAGTGCTGTGTCGCCGCGAACGAATAAATTAAATTGTTTTATTTGTAGAAGGTTTTTACCATGTACTACGACATACGTAAAATACTAAACCATAACCGCAAAGAAAATGTATTAAATTTTAATTTCAGTATTTCTTAATATACATATACCTTATATATAGGTAACTGTCAATCACACACAGGTAACCGTCAATCACACACACCTTACAGTCTAATGCATGTGATGTCTCCCGTAACATGATTAACTTATCAAATTAAAATTCGACCAATTTATAAATATTTTGGAGTTGTTAAGCTAAAATATAACGAGCCAGTGGCCTCTAATGGTGAGACTGCATAATACAAAATAATCTTGATACTTTTTAAGGCACAGACCTATATTACAGAGTAATTTCCCTAATAATCCTGTGGTTTTGGTAGAAACTCTGTATGTACTTAGTTATAAAGCGTGTTCTCACTGTGTTGAGCACTGTAATCCTTCGGCCACAAACCCTATTTTAAAATGATAGACAGACAGATCTTACTGGTCCAAGCTGGGAAATCACACAATAATACGTATAACAGTGTAATTATTTGATATATATATATATATATACTGTATAACAGTGTAATTATTTGAGATATATATATATATATACACACACAACAGAAAATACTTGACTACAAGACAGTCAAGTATAGAAAAAAATATTGTGCCTTAGGGGATTCACACCCAAAACCTTTACATTCTTAAAAGTTAAAAATAAATATTATCTGACATGTGAAAAAGCTGCTAATGAATCCCTTCTGAATGGACCCTGAATGCACCACACCCTGCTCTGTTAAGGTGTGGTAGTCCATCACAGCTTCCTGTTGTTGCTGTTTTCACTCTTCATATCTATACAGTATATAGCAGCAAACAGCAGCAGCACTGACCAGCCTTACACCGACTGCCTGATCCAAACCGCTCCCACCCCTTCCCTGCCCTCCCCACCCAGTTTTAGTGTCCTCAATTAGCCTGCTGGGTGACGTCAGGAAGGTGACATGGGTGCCTGTGTTCACAATGAGCCGCAGCTCCTGTCGTTTTCTGCTGCAGCATTACATGCAAGCAGGGAGGAAGGAGAGAATGTATGCGTGAAATGTGCTAAATTAATCTGGCATTTTCTGCATGATTTGAGCAGCAGCTGCAGCCTTCTCCTCCACACTGTACCTCCTGTGCTGCTGCTCTCCTCCTCCTCCTCCTCCTCCTCCCCTGTTCTCCTCTCTGTGCGTTTCTGCAGGGCTGCGCAGCTCCTGACTGACAGAGAGATGAGGGGTGGGGACGCAGGGTGGGGTCACAAGCAAGGGAGAGGCGGAGGAGGAACAGGCAGAGAGAGAGAGCCCAGCCCTTCAATACACGGCAACAACACACCGATACAGAGACACAGAGAGGGACACACAGAGACAGACACAGAGACACTGGACTGGTGGTGGTGTTCACGCAAAAAGAGCAAAAAGGTGGAGTCTTCTCCTCTTTCGACGCGTGGGATCATCTTAACACTGACTGTCAAGGTGGAAAACTAGGCTCCCCCACCCTTCTCCTCCTTCAACCAGCCCTATCCTCCTCCAACACTTCTGGTCCAGATACACAGCTGCTGCCCCAAAACAAGAGACCCTCAGCTCCTGCTACTGCTGCTCCACCCTTCCACCTTCTCCTCCTCCTTCACCTCCTCCTCCTGCTGCTCCTGCAACCGAGATGCACACGGAGACCAGAAACAAGAAAGTAAGTGCGATTGACTGACAGAGAGAGAGCGGGCGAGCGAGAGAGAGCGAGAGAGGTACACTCACAGAGAGAGAGCGTGAGGGAGCGCGTGAGCTGCTGCCACTGACAGATCAACATGTGCCACATATGGATGTCACAGAGAGTGCGTGTACGTGCGTGTGTTTGTGTGCGCGCGCGCAGGAGGAGATGGCAGGTTTTATTTTGCACTGAAGTTGTCCAGCAGTGACCTCATTGCATTTGCAGGAGAGGACGAGCATGCACGGAGAGAGAGAGAGAGAGAGAGAGAGACGGTCGAATGTGTGTGTGTGCGTGTGAAAGTACGTGCACGTGTGCGCGTGTCCGCTCGAGGTCGGTTCGGGTTCACTTTTAAATGATCTCTGTCAGAAGAGAGAGGCAGAGCGAGAGAGGGAGAGAATGAGAGAGAGAGAAAGAAAAAGAGAGAGAAGAGCAGGAAAGGAAACGGAAGAGGCTCAAACTGCAGCTCTGTAGGACTCCATCTTAGCTTTTAAAGGGCCAGCAGCCTTTTTCTGGAGTACACGCGCACGCGCACATATGTGCGCACACATGTAGATTTCTATATTTGTAAGGACACTCAGGCATAATGCATTCCCTAGCAACGGACACTAAACTTAGCTACTGTACCTTAATTAAAGCTGCAGTACCATTGTATTTCACCAGGAACTTTAAAAGTCTGGTGCCTTATTCAAGGGCGTAGAAAGGTCTAATCTGAAGGCTTCACCCCAGTAGTCCAATTTCTTACGTAATTAATCAAGTTCTTTGTTTTTTTGTATTACATCATTGTTTGCCTATCTGTTGAGCAAGTTCACATGGTTGTTTGCTGAATCAGTTCCCGTACTTTTATCAAGTTCCTTTATCATAAACTGTGGGTCTACTGCCTAGTACTTGGTATGATAGCAGGGACCATTATTTAAAATAACCTTTTATTTATCCTTCATGTGTCTTATAGATGTCCTTTATGGTAAAAAAAAAGGATAAAAAAAAAATCCAGAATTGACTCGTCTCATTCGATAGTACTTGTACTCTGTAAATGTCACACCTCTAAAACAGTCATTGTTGACATGTGTCTTGTAGAAGGACAACAGTGTAACCTGAGGTTTTTTGAAGGAAGGAACCAATGTCATGTAACTGTAATTACAGCCTGTAAATCCTCTTGTTCCACATGTTGAAAGACCAGTAGAGATTATGCAAATTACTTTGGGTGAAGGGACTATTATTAGGATACAGTAGTTATGGTACATTCATAGAGTTCCTAGTCCCAATGGTAGAAAGTCTATGAAGTGTTTTCACTTCAGGACTTGTATTCGTCAGGGAACGCTAAAAAATGTCACACCTTTTTGGTTATGTTCACTCCAATACTGCTGCATTACTGCCTCCACTCAGCTCCAAGGAACCACATTACACAGTAATATGACCAAATACCAATTAGCCCCAGTACATCCTCACTACTTTACATAATCCTTTGAGACATTTTTCGTAATGTTTTGTTTTCCTCTTTATTTTATGCTGTTTGCCTTGTTTTTTTTTCTAAAATGCTCTACGTCCACTTCCTCCTTTTGGTTCACTTCGTCTTTTTGGTTTTCTGGATAGTTATGTATGCGTTTTCTTATTTAGGTGAACTTTAGGTGAACCGCACTTGGGTTCACTTACACGTGAATACAGATCCATGTTTTTTAGGGCATCTAAAAAAACATGGATCTGCCACTCTAGTGTAAGACCATGTTCACTGCTCTGCTACAAACCACACGCATGTTCATTCATTTTTGAGTTGCAGACTGCCACTTTCAGTTTCACTTCTTCATCTGTCTCCTGGTTCAAACTTTTAACTTATTTAAAAAAAACAACTGGATTCTAGGTCTACTGCCTGCTGATCTGAATAATCAGTTATCATCAGCGCAAATGGTTCTAAAAACAAAACAAATTAGTTTTAGCTAAATAAGAAAAACAATCAAAAAAGTACACACACAGTGGTAAACACCCAGGTACACTGCCTCCAGCTACAAAATCCTAGCTCCTGATTGGTGCAAAGTGTAAGTATGTGTGGTATTATGAGCAGACATGCCCCGTCATTTGGCCTCAAAATTATAATTTTTTTAATCTCTGATGTAGCAGTGATCATGAGGCCATGAAAACAAAGTTCCGTTACAGTTTGTAAAAATGTTAAAGGGTAGCATCTCAACGGCTCCACGACGTTTCAGTAGCAGGAAATTTTGGAGAAACTGAAATGAGTTTTGCGTTGCTATTGGGCCATGTGGTGAAAGTCCTACAAAAATATGCAAATAAGTCCAGTGATGGAATTGAAAAAATACCAGTTAGTTCCAAAAAGCCTCAGGTTCTGTCTCTCTTGGTTTGACTATTAATAGTTCCTGGAACACATAAAGTTCTTGGTGTTACTTCCATCAGGAGAAACACACATACAACAGTTGCTTGTACCGTTACCAGTTCCAAGCAACTGCACCAGCAGCTGAAATGGTGCACAACGGTTCTAGTACTTCCTGTTCCTGTGTCAAAGACACCCATTGTGGCTAGCACAGTTAACAGTTCTACGTACTTGAACTGGTACTATTGTACTATCCCTATGACAATGAACTATTCTTATAGTAATATGCCTAGATGTTGGTACTATTTTTCCAGTGATGGCACCAAGTATTCTGGTACTGTCTTTGGTAATTAATACTTTGTTATCACAAGAGGAAAAATACCATCAGTTCCTCGTGAGCAATATTTAAAAAGAACAATGGCCAGGGTGTTTTTAATCCTGCCCTCTGCCTGTGAGGTCATGACTGTGGTGCACTTGTGACACAGCTGTGTGCCCGGGGTCCAGCTGACCCCTGTTATCTAAGAACTGATACCGGATACAACCTGGACCTGGTCCAACTTGTAGCCAGGCTAATCAGGTCAGACAGGGACACGTGGTTCTGGAACATTTTCCTTTTTCTTATTTTATTAATAGCGTGTTAACAGGAAAAATGGGTTTTAAATCCTGTTCACATTTTGGACCCGGTCCAGACACACACAAAGAGTGAAATGCGGACGTGGCTTTAGAAAGTTTATAACTGGAGGGTTGAAACTTCAGCATCACCACCATAACTGAAGGATTTGTCAGAGGAACTCAGACCCTGCCAGGGCCAGCAGCCACAGTACTCAAAGACTAATCAGCTTAAAGCAACTTTAAACTTTAAACAACACGGCTTTGAGACAAACGTCTTATAAAAGAGTAACAATGTTTTTGTTTAATTGTTGATGTCCATTTTCAGAATCAAGTGTTTTTCTCCAAAAAGCTAAATCGTTGTTTTATGCTCTGCTGCCTTCATTGCTAACTACAGTTGTGTTATTTTGCAGCGTGGGTCATTATTAGTCAACACTAAGGTTGGTTTTAGTCCCAAAACGTCAGCAGTGAAGACCAGAGTAATCAGAGGTGTGTACCTCCAGGGAGCTAAAATCACTAGTTTTGTGAATGGGCTTTGGTTCAAGTGCCGCGATCATTAGCTTCCTGTAAAAAGGTCTCCTTGAAAACAGTTGTTCACATTCCCTGTTTCTCATTTATTATGTTAACGTTTTGTGATTTTTATAATAACAAAACTGAAAATTTTAAGATTGGTTGAATGTTAGCATGTTTTCATTTTAGCGCATACAATTTTCATACCTCTTATAAAGGTTATATATTTGTGTATTATAGCATTTTTTGGCCATAAAAAACTGTGTCTTTACACCACAGGTGAAGAAGTGTGTTTGAGTTTATCATCGTTTCCTGAGAAAACTTTAATGTTCATTTCCCTGAAACAACCTTGATTGAAGATTGTTTTGTTTGTGGGAACAAAAATCCAATTCATCCTTAAGGCAGTGTTGGTAGGACTGATAAGAGAGCAGTGATTTCTGTATTATGTACTGTGTGTGTGTGTGTGTGTCCTGAATCAGCTGTGTTAGAAATTGTAGGGCAGGGCATAAGTAGTAAAGGCTCCATGAATACAAAGTCTGCCTGTGTGTTTGCATGTGTGTGTATGTGTGTGTGTATGTGTGGATGAGAGAGAGAGAGAGAGAGAGAGAGAGAGAGAGAGCGGCAGGCAATAATTTACTTTTCTCTACAAAATTTCATGAAACTACTTTGAAACTTGATGATGACTCTGTGTGCACATGTGTGTGTGTTTCACACCTTGACGGAACACACACACACACCCACTACGAAGTACACTTCATCTGTATGGTTGTACATGAATGGAGACGGGGCACTCAGCCCGTTGTTGCCCACTCCGATGTGTTCCTCAGCCAACTTTCAAAACTGGGTTTAAACTCAGTTGAACCAATTCTATGGAATTATTCACAAATCAGTTTTCATTATAATATTATTGGCACTGACCTTTGTTTTGCACTTTAGGAAGGAGAAATGTGCCAGAGCCAGTGTTTCAGCCAGGGTAATCACACAGAGTTGGCTCTCTGTGAAGTGTGCAGCTGCTCAGATCTGCCGTACTGAACTGAAAAAAAAAAAAAAAAAAAAATTGCACTCACTATTGGTAAAAACCACCCCCAAAAAACAGACTTCTCAAAAGACTTCAAATGAGCTTAAATTCAAAATAGACCTCAATAGAATTGAATAAAACTTTAATTAAGAGCTGCTAAAAGTATTCTATTAAATATTTTTTTATTTTAATTCACTAAATTAACAAGTTTTCGTTATCTTTTTTGAAACTAACAATTTTTAATTTTTTTTTTCTTTGTCTCTAAATCCAGAGTGAATGCCCTAGGACTGTGGTCAAAACAAGTTGGAATTTCTGCCCTAAGAAATGCTGATCCAAACAACCAGGATTCACTTTCACATTCACAGCTATGGTCGTTTTGCCCAAACCACTGTGTGTGACCCAAAAAATTTTTTGACAGTTGCAAAATGACAATTTCTTTGGTTCCTGAATCTGACCTGCTCTACAGGAACCGGTGCTTCTGTCCTCTAAACCTCCTGGAAAGAGAGAGGAAGTAGAAAAAGTTCAAGTGAACTTCAGGAAGTAATAGCAAAAGTGAGAGGAGGGACATTGAAACCACCTGATCACGTACCGTGGATGGACTTGGCTTGTGTTGGGCCTCGTAAATCGTTTCTTCGTAATGATGCTGAAGCGACGAGGGGCTGGGTCGGTAATTTAAAGGCGCTGGAGATTAGTACTCTCATGCTTCACTGACTGAGCTAAGGGCTCCCTAACAAGTGTGCTCTGAAAAGTGTTCTCCAGGTGGTGTGTAGGTGTCGGAGAGAGCTAACTGGCTCACTGCACTTTTCCATTTTCTTCTTTATGCGTTGCTCTAATTCAAGGTGATTTACGGCAGTTAAAGCAGCGCAGTGAAGTTTAGGAGGGGACGAGTGTGGAGGGGACAAGCATTCTGGCATGTTTTAAAGTTATTTGGAAGGGAAAGAAAAGCTGAGACGCTGACCAGCTCCCTCCAGTATTTCTGGGGACCACTAGAAAGCCATTAGCCCGCTGTCTGCCGGGCTGCATCTGTGTGTGCTACACAGCAGATATAAATCAGAGTGGGGTATGAAGTCACAGCGTGAGGAATGGTTTGGAGCGAGTTAGGTTCATCCCAAGGGTCATTGGCGTTCAGAATGGCATCGTGCCGTGGTCATTCAGTCACTGAATCACTGGGAATTAATGATTATGAAGTGACTGCAGAGCAGGAGGGAGGTTCACGTCTCATCTGTATGGATACGGAGTCTGTGTCACAGAGATGAATCAAAGTTGCGCGCTGCAGTTTTCACATTTTCAACTTGGACTGAATAAAAATACCTGAATCGCAGCAGGCATTGGAGACAAGTAAAATATTAAAATGGACAACAAAAAGAACAGTCCTTCGACACAGTGGTGGAGAACTGCTGAACAGTCGTTCTGTAAATGTTACAATGCTAACATAGGTGGTGCTAAAACCAAAATAAAACCACAATTCTGTCTAAATAAAGAGACACCTAGAAGCAAATTCTTTCGTAAATGTAAAAAAAAAAGACATATTTAATATACTTAATGCACAACCAATAACAGACTGATTTCCAACATTATGATCAACACCGGTAGTTTTGTAAGTATTAAATCGAAGTACTAACTCAACAACATTTTTCCCTTTGGTGACAATAGATATCATAATGGGAGAATATATGAAAATAAAGATATTTAAATAAATCAGAATTTGTCAGAAACTGAATTACACTCACCAGCGTTTATATTAACAACTAAATGGACAATGGAAGTAGGTGTTCGTCACAACCTCGGAGAAAGAAGAATGGACAATGGTGTTCGTCACAACCTCGGAGAAAGAAAAGCCAAAAGTAATAAAAGATCTAAATGGAGAAACTCTGACCATAAATAAGTAATAAGTGGCATTCCATTTTCTTTATGTTAGCCACTGTGCGGTAATGGTATGCCTCATAATTTATGCTACACCTTGGCGTCTGGGGCAGAGCACAGACATTACACCCACTTTGGGCTTCATAAAAATTTCTTCAGGAAGAAAAGTGAATATAAAAACTCAGTGGAAAGTCATAAAATGCACATTCTACTTGAACTGAGAAAGGACACTGAGGTGTCAACTGTAGAAATTGAATTGGAAACATTTTGTTTGGCTATCGTTTGACAGTCCCAGTACGAAGGTATAGATTTGACAAACATTAGCATTAGTTGATTTGTATCAGTTGATAGATAGAGTCCAAAAATGGTCCTGTTTCTGGGATAGAGATCAGACTGATCAGTAGGACAGTTCTGTTATCTAGTTCCCGGTACTGGTTTCCTTGGTGTAAACAGTTGTAGAGAGCTGAACTGTCTTACATGATGACTTGCTGCTGTAAGTCGTTTCTTGCAGTGTTTGGACAAAGTTCAACGGTCGCTTCTTGCTTACGTTTACAGGATCTCGCCGGAGAGAGAAGAAGGAATATTAGTGCTGTCCCTTTTCTCTGTTTTTTTCTCACTGGACAGCCTTGCTTAGGCTGAACTGCCCCAAGGCTTTAGGTCTATTTATAGAGACCCAGTCGTAGTGTTTACACGGTGAAGGCAGGACAGAGTAGAGCTGGAGCCTTCTCCTGTCATGGTACCAAACGTCAACCCTTAAAAGCTCAGATGTTTTTTATCTTTTCAAACTCTGGTACTTTCCAATCATCAGTCTCAGCCTCAGCAGCTGAGCTGGAAGTCCAACATTGATTTGGTGTGAAAGTGAAAAGTGAACACAACATCAACAACATCAACAACAACAACCCTGCACCACCTTATGAGCACAGGCACAAAGTCACAAATCACAGCTGGACTCATCAAGTCTAAATCAGACCGTGTCAGGTGTTATCACACTTGTAAGACACAGCATGGCTCAGTCTGTCAACAAAATACGTCCTAATCCCACTGCTGTAGCTGGTTAAGATCATCAGATCTAGGTGGAAATTGATAATGAAGGATGTTATGAACTAAATTCATGATTTCCAGGAACATATATGCAACTTCTGAGTACATATAGGGGATGTATGAGTACATATATATGAGTTCTTAGAACACGGGTGAATTCAGAGAATATATAGTTGAGTTCTGAGTACATGTATGCGAGATTTGAGAACATATACGTTAGTTCTGAGTACATAGACATTAGTTTTAAGTACATACATGTTAGTTCTGAGAACATGTGGGTGTTTTAAAAGAGAGAGATGATTCTCTATGGCGGTATGTAAATCAGCCACTGGAGACATCAGACTTCTGTGTCGGCTTTAATTCTTGTTCTGACGTGACCTTGAAGCGTGTGTCAGATCGCCGACGCCTCAGCCCGTTTCCTGTTCTCGTACAGCACAGTTCATCAGTGGTCTTGACCCAGCCGGGTGTCAACCATCAGTGCGTCTTTCACCGCAGCCTGGTGTGGCTGATGCTCGCGGTGCTGGCGCCCAGACTCTTTCAGAGTAAACAGTATCTGCTCCAACAGTGGGAGCGGAGCTTTAAGTTTATCTGAAGGTCATGAAGCTGCTGAGAGACTGTCATGTGAGCTTCAGAAGCCGCAGCTCCGTTAGGCACTGTGCGGTTTTTAAACAGCTCTCCGCTCTTCTCCTTCAGCATCGTCTGTGTTCTAACGTCGGCGTTTCTCTTTTTCTATTTTCTGAGCTTTCAGTCCTGCGTTAATAACAGTTTTCGCTGCTACACCATCCTCAAATTGTTTATGCGCTCTGAGCCAAATGTGTCTGAAATAATATCCGTTTGGAGACTTTTATTCTGCAGATCCTCAACTGTTATTTCTTTATTCGGTGGAATTGGCCACAGTTTGTTAGAATAATCTCTGCATCAGAATGAGCTTTACCTCTGTTCATTTAACATGCAGAGTCAAAGTGAATAGAAGTCCCACGGACAGGCTTTCTACGTCGTTTAGAGCAGAAATGTGTGAAGTTTGAGTCTGAAAACAGTTGTACTGCAGCGCCACAGAAACCACATGGGCAATTACATATATAAACACACACACACCCACACACACACACAGACACCGCATCATGTCAGCAGACATGCAAACATGTCTGTGACTGTGTAAGTTGGACTAAATATACAGCAGTTTTTGAGGCACTTACACTGGACAAAAACAATAAATGTCCCAATGTGTACTTTTGGCTAAATCAAACCCCAAAATATCCAGATAGGATATTAATGGCTAAACAAAAATGGCTAAAAATTAGCCAAAGAATGTAAGAAGAAGGTAAAGAAGAAGACAAAGTAGGGAAGCCTGGAAAAACAAACTTTGACTGTTAACTTAGACAGCTAACAGATAACTAACGCAGTATATAGATAAATGGACCTACATGAAAATAATAGTCAAATATTCTTAGCCAGACAACATGCTAATAGTTGCTATAAAGACGTGGTGCTGTATAATTAGCCAGAAGCTAACTATTATTTAAGGTGTTATTGTTAGTCAACAGGTAACAAAAAAGTAAAAGTTTGTAAACCAAAAAGTAGTGAAGTATAGTTTAGGATTAAAAAATTAAAAAAATCAACAACTAAGTAATAGCTTAATATTAGCAACTAGGATCTAGGCTAATACAGACATAACGACTCAGCAGTATCAGCAGAAGCAGCTCAATGTGTGACGTAAAAACACTAACAGCTTCAATCCCTTGAATGATGTGTCAACTGTGAAACACGAGTCTAACATTCAACAGTTAGCCTGTCATTGATCAACTGACACAACGATTCGACGATTAGAGTCGTAAATCTGCTGTTTGTAACCTCTTAAACATTCATGCAGCTGTTTTCTATGCCCGTAATGACAGAATACCAAATACTTGGATTTATGCAAACAGCTGTTTGTATAGATGTAGACATTTAAGTCAATCTCTTTGTGCTGGGACAAATTAAGTCTGGCTTCTTCCCTTTCCCCCCAGGACCACTTTAATTCCTCACCCGGGGACCGGCGGCTTCTGCTTATTTAACGTTCTGTCTGTGACTGCGGCTTAACTAAAAGTTACATTCAGCTCGTGTCACACCCATGTTCAACCTAAAAAGTCACCGTCAGCTGGAATATCAGACGATGAATAACATTGATAAGAAGACTGTGGTTTCACAGACAGAGGAAGTGATATCTGGTAAAGACCAAGAACCTGGAGTTTATTCTCTGCAGTAATGTCAAAAACCTAGAACCTGGAGTTTATTCTCTGCAGTAAATGTTACAGTTTTCAAAGTGAACAACTCAACGCCTGGTCACAGTTATGGTTTCAAGACGGTGTTAATTACTAACAATTTGGTTTTAGAACATGCTCTCATTGTCACTGCTATTTTTAAAATTGTCTAACCAGCTTCTTCAGAACATTCCAGATCATTTAATGTAGTGTCATGGGTTTCTTTCTTTTTCCTTTCATTGAAATTACTTTTTTTTAACGCCACATTTTCTCATATATTCATGTTAAATATGTTGACTATATATGCACATATATACAGTGTCTCTACAGAGCGACTCAGGGTCAAACTGCACTGAAGTCCTACTGATCATGTGACCAATTAATTGTTGAATCCTGAATATTAGATTCAGGATTCACTGATTAATTGGTCACATGATCAGTCATTCTTTTTTGTGTGGAGCTTTGACCTGGAGAAAGAAATGTGAGATAATAATTAAAGGAACGTTTACACAGTTTAATATCCCTCCTGACGCAGCTTTCCTTTTTTTAAACCCAGGGTCAGGATCAGGCTTAGCTTTTCAGTGGGATTTAAACCCGTGAAATTCTTCCTTCTTGCTCTATTTCAGTAATCTGGAAATGAAGAAGCTCAATGTCACTGGAGTGTGTGTTCATTATGAGAGGGTTGAGTAAATGTGTGTCTCGTGGGAATGAGTGGCTGTGTGTGTGTGTGTGTGTGTATTTTACACACATTCTCAGTGTGATTCTGTGAATGGCTTCATGCAATTCTGTGTGTGTCTCAGGCCAGTGTGTGTGTGTGTGTGTGTGTGAAGATATTGGCTGTGTCACCTCAGATTAGGCCTTGATGCTGCTGATGCTGGTGATTGTGGTGGTGGTGGAGAGTGACCTCCTCCACACCCTTCCACCCTCAACAACCTCGCTACAGTCATTATCAAGGGGGGGGGGGGTACGGGGGGGTCTTGTCGTCATGGCAACTGTGACAGTGCTGCCAAAATGGCCACACTGAAAAGACGAAGAAGAGAAAGAAAAAAAAGGGAGGACGTGGGAGGGGAAAGCTGGGGGTTGGGTGTGGGTGGGTGGAGGAGGAAGATGAGGATGAAAAGTCTGAAAGTGAGAGTGTGGTGAAGGAGACGGAGGATGTGGTGCTGACAGAGACGTATGCGGAGGATGGCGGTGATGAAACTATCTGATGACGAGGTCACAGTCACTGATGGAGGATTATCTGAGACCATGATCTGAAAGATAAGACAAAACAGTGGCAAATGGAGAGATTTTAAAAATTGATTATATACAAACTAAATAATAAATAAATGGACTTTCCTCCATCACCTGGTAACCTCAGTTCAATAAAGGTCGACGTGTCATGTCTTTGTAAAGGTAAAAGATAGGACTTAAGAATTAGCACGTTATTCATATTCATTAATATGTGGTAATAAATATTATAATAGTATAAATAACAAGTTTTTTTTTGTATAACCAGTTTCTCAGTAAAGACTAAAACCCATTTGCATATTTGACTCGACATCTTTCTGTATTAATAGCGCCATCATCTGGCTTAGTAAAACAAATAAAAACAGGTGTGAAACACACAGGTCTATTGCACTACATTCTGTTCCAACAAAATACAGAAAAATAATTTGATTTGATTTGTCTTCACCAAGTGGATGTTTCGACAGTTTGACGAGTTCCCGTCTCCTTTTCTCTCATGTTTTCACCTGATGTTTTTCCTGATGTCAAAGAAGGAGGAGGACACAGAAATGTTGGGGTTTGAAAAGGTCGCTTTCAATTAGCAACAGCTTCTGCTCAGAAAAATGACTAATGGACAACGACGGTATTACAGCTGTGTGACTGCACTGGGTCTTTAAATCCTGCGTGTATTTATGTTAGTGAGGGGCTGTGTGTGTGTGTGTGTGTGTGTGTGTGTTTACTCACACGTTTATGTTTGCGGTTAGTTCAAGACTGTAAGTACTTTGAATTCCATGTCAAGGAACCATGTCTTTGTGGTTTACGGTCGACACGTCAGTGTGTGTGTGTGTGTGTGTGTGTGTGTGTGTGTGTGCTCGTGCTTTTTTTGTGACGTGTACATTTGGCTTGTATAAAACACACACATCTTCTGGACTCACTGGTCCTTACAAAGACCAAATCCTGGTCTCAGTGCAACGTTTGAACAACATCGTCAGAGACCTTTGGTACCCTCAGCCCACCGATGAGTCACCGACCGTCCTGCTGCAGGGGCTTCTTCATTCGTGGAACCAGTGTCTCCCTGGTACTTTCACTAATTACTGCTATGACTGTCTGTGGTAGATAGTCATCTAGTTGTTTTTCTTGGTACTCTCCTCTGTGTATCAGTTCCTTCGATGGAAAAAACACACACTAGTTCCACTTCTTGCACTGCGCCCCACATGTTGGCTAACTGTGGCCCAATTCACAGCACAAGTTTCCTTTAGTAAAAACAGATTCTTTGCAGTTCTGTCCTCTGTAACATCCCTGGAGTAAAAACTCACATATTTGGTCCCGGTCGCTCTATTTGCAGTATCTGGAGTACAGAGTACTAGAAGTACTGTAGCTGTGTTTGTAGCTTCGTGTTTCTGAAGTATGTTTCTGCTGCCGGCCCTAATCCAGGCCCATGTCTCTGTGGTGGAACCTGGTACTATTGTCTGTGGTGCTGGCCTTAATTCTTAAAACTTGTATCTGAAGGGTTTTTGCTCATGGTTACTGCAGTAGAAATGCTCATTGTGTTGGTAATCCTTCATAGTTTCTAGTACCGATGTCTGTCGATGAATCAGGTGATTGTTGATTAAAGGATTAGAAAAATAAGGTGAAGCTTTTGGTTTGCCTTAAATGGAAGTCAATACGGAATGCAGCTTTGTGTGTGCGTGTGCGTGTTTCTGTGGGCAACTGTGTATGTGTGTGTGTGTGTGTAACAGGGGGTGTAGGGAAGTTGCGTACAGTTTTGCGTCAGCTGGGTGTGGTGTGATAACAGCTATAGGCTGCTTCTTCACTCATGATCTTTTTGTAGGTCTCTCTCTCTCTCCCTTTCTCTCTCTCTCTCTCTCTCTCTCTCTGCCAGATGGAGACACTCCCAATGTCGCTTCACTGCGTACACACACTCTGTACTTTGAGTGTCCAATAAATAGTGATGAAAATAAAGATATCTCCCCACATTCTGCATTACCACGAAGACAACTAATGGTTAATGGACGTCTCTGTCGGCTCCGTTTCACTGAACACAGACATGTTCACAGACATGGGTCATGTTTGGCTGCGAGCCAGTCGGCAGCATCTGTCCGCCATAAAAGATCCAATCAGCAGCAGCCATGACGAGTCCACAGAGAGACACCAAATAATCCAGGCCTGAACAAGCCAGGTGCAAGAACAAAAAAAGTCTGAAAAATCACCACAACATCTGCCCACCAAACTACAGCAGTGCAACACAGTCGTGGTCGAGAGCGAGCCGAGACCAAACAAGTTAATGAACGTGAAACGGGAATTGATTCGAGAATTAATCATTACTTTTTATTTATGGGAGCGGTTTATCGCCTGTTTCATTAGCTTCGTAACATTTCCTAACCAATTTCAGCCTTTTTGTTTTGGTTTTTATTAAACATTTGTTTTTGTTTTGTTTTTTGACCACTTCATCATTTTACCAACCAGAAACTGGAATAAAGGAGCAGTCGTTAGCTTCAAAAGCCATTTTAACAAAGCTTAAAGTCAGGCTTAAAAAAAAAAGTATCTCCAACTATAATGTTAAAACCTTTATGCTAGGGGCTAGTCCTATTTTGCTTTAATTTTGCTACCTTGTTTCTGTGCCTTGTTTTTGTCATTTAATTCATTTGAACGATCATAGCTATTTCTGAGGAACCATTTAGCTGCTACTTAGCTATTGGCCCATCTTTGAGCTGCTTTTCAGATATCTTTCGATCAATTTCAGCCCTTGTTTCCTAGCTCTTTGTCTACTGTTGACACGGCTAAGGATGTGTTGTTTACCATGGAAATGTAATTGGACATAATTAGATGTTTGATTTCCAATATATATATTCTGTAATTACAGTCATGAGAATTTTAAGTTCACATGTTTCAATGTTACTATGTTACTATTCAGACTTTTATCAATCATTTACAAAATATTGGTGACATTCCTGAACCCATATCAGCTAAAACAGAGGGGCTCAGGTGAACTCTGTGACATTTTCAGGAGGTCATATTGTCCACACTCACTCACTTTTCCCTTACTTTCTGTCCTTTTTGTTTTTTTTTTCTATTTTCACTTTGTTCGACACCTGCCAAAGGGACAATATGTTGTAACAGCACTGACCTTTGACCCCTCTCATTGGGTAAATGTTGACTGTCAGAGCGTGTCGGACAGACCAGTCAGCTGTTTTTTTCCCTTTTTCTGCAATTTGCTCCAAGCTCAGAGGTCAGATCTGACTGTCCAGTTGGAGAGAGAGAGAGAGAGAGAGAGAGAGAGAAGACCTTAATATTACATTAACATATGTCTTACATAAGGACATGTTAATGTTAAGATGGTGGACAGTCTGTGTATTCTTTTTTAAAACACCTGGAAATGCATTTAGACATAGTACCAATGCTGGCCAGCAGGGGCAGACTAAGAAAAAAACATTGCCTTTTATTTTAAATTAGCCCAAAGCGTAGCAATTTGACATTAAGTTATGGATAGAGGTTAAGTTTGACCAAAGCTATATGTTAGCTTAAATAATTGTTTTTTTCTTTTAGAACAGTTTGCTCTAATAGAACTCTGTCCCTTTAAGAGTCTGCTGTGTGTTTGCAGTTGTGAAGGAGTGGTCATCGGGGAGTGGGACATGGATATGTTTGTCTTAGAACAGTGAGACGATTTCATTGTTCGTTATACTGTTAGCTACTCATTCACCTCTAATTAATGATTCATATGAGCATCACAAACGACCCCTTTCTTGTCTGTTACGTTTTAAAATCATTTTCTTAACTTTTTCTCCATCTCCTCGGCTGTGTTTCCATATATACTTCCTCACATGTGTCTCTTATTGTATTTGTTAAGAGCTAAATTTTTCTAGGAATAAGGTCCTCCAAAAAAACTGCTTGTGTCATCTCTGTCACTTATTAACCAAGCCCCGCCCCCTTCCACTGACTTCACAGTGCCCTCCCTCTCTAACTGAGGGTCTGGGTGCCTCTCGGGGACGAGTCCATATGGGCAGGGGTGTTTCTGCATGTGTGTGTGGGTCGTGGACTCCAGTTACAAAAGTTCTTGTTCAATATTTGGACACAACTATGAGACAGAGTGATCCCTTCGCACTGGACCAAAGACTTAAGCTACACCCCCCTCCACCCCCCTCCCCCCAAAAAAGCAGAGGAAACTGTGCATCAACATCTTTTTTTAACTTAAATTTGCATTAAATTAGACCTAAATATCTTTGATGATTAAACTAAATTATGCTAAATTTATTGGAGTTGGCAAAGATTGGAAAAATACTGGAAGCATGTTTAAACTTGGCTAAGGTGAGGCATTGACATTAGCCAGAAGTTAGCAATTATACAAAATAACCAGTGACACAGCTAACCGACAGAAGCTAAGCTAGCTAAAATGTTCAAATAACAACTAAAGAAAAGAACAAACATTAGCTAAATGT